GGGAAAAGTATTCTGGCAACCTTTGGGAAATAACAGAGGAGACAGATATGCTAGAAATGGTCAGGAAAAAAAGTTAGGGTCAACTACCATTACATGAACATGATTTAAATTTATGAAAGCAGATTGGCGATGTTGTTCAGTGCGACCATATGACACACACACACACGCACGCACGCACGCACGCACGCACGCACGCACACACACACACACACACACACACACACACACACACCTACTTGATGTAAAGCCTTTGATAGAAGTGATGAAGATGGTTTTGTTTTTAAGCACATCATGAATCTCATTTTAGGATGATGAAGAAGAGGAAAGAAATAGGTGGAGGAGTGTTTCGGATGTGAAAACACACCCACAGCATGGAGGGTGGCAAACTGAGGGCACAAGTATGATTATAGGGTTATTTACATCACAGCAAAGAGCTACACTGAAAATCAGCGAGTCTTTGAGAGGGAGGGAGGGGGGGGGGGAGAGAGAGAGAGAGAGAGAGAGAGAGAGAGAGAGAGAGAGAGAGAGAGAGAGAGAGAGAGAAGATGGCTTCCAGATGTGAAGTGGAATTCAGGGCGCCAGAGAGCAGCGGCGGCAACCCAACGACTCCTCCTCCTCCTTTGCAGATGAAGCTTCAGAATGAGATCGGGAGAAGGGATGGGTGGAGAGAAACCACACATTTAAACAAAAGGAAGACATTATGTCAAAAGAGAAGCATGGAAATCTTCCATGGTAGCTGTCTAACAAGGTGGTTGGGAAAGAATTATTCAAAAATGTATTTAGTTGGTTAGGTCAGGCAAGGCCAAACTAAATGGCATGCCGTTCCAGATTTGCATACAGTATGACCGTGTGAAAATTAGCTTCGATTGATTTCTGCATTCTCGTACGTGAGTGCTAGGATGCGGAATGAGCATGATATTAATTGGCCAAGAAAAATGTAGAGTCGCATTGTTTTTATCACATCGGATTGCTCGACTTGACCGCAATCAACAGAGGTGCTGATTGTCGAGTCTCAATAATCTTTCTGGTCTACAGAAAAAACAATGTGAAATAAACTGGGGCCTACCACCACACCGACATCCACAATGGCACAACTCCTCCAAGCAACATTAATCTGCTCAGCGTGACACTGGCAATCGTACAATCAGGAATCCAGAACATTCAGAGAGAGAGAGATTTTAAAACACGTTCAGAATAATCATTTCAAAAATATCAAAGGACATCTGCCTCATAGTTTCAAGTTCCATTGGTTGAACGTCGGCTTCCGCTGGCCTTTCTCTCTGAGTACTCCGGCTTCCTCGGACAGTTCTGCTTCCTTAGACCTCTGCAAATTCCAAACAGCGTGATAAACATAACGCTTTACTGAAATTCACTGTAAAGATTATATCAGCATAGTGTCAGCCCTT